TGGCAAACTGTAATAAAAATATACAGAGTGGTAGAGAATTTCACGCGCTTTTCGAATATAGTATTATTCTTTTGAGAATACGCTGTTATAGTAACGATATACCCAAAATAACGTGGCTAACTTTTGCTTTTCAGGGGTATATATATGTGAAATTGAATCCATAGAAAAAACAACATTATTGTATTCATGTTTTCATTGAATTAAATAAGCGTGATATTCTATTCATATCATAGTCAAGAAATTGTATTTTATAAAAATTCGATTGATTTTATGAGAAATGACAAATTTTATTATATAGAGCAAAAAAAAATTTTTTTTCTAAGACATTTTGTTGTTCATCATTGGACAGCTGCTTCAATGAAATGAAAGGAGAAACATTTTATTGAATTTTACACAATATTCTCATATCGCTTGAATTTCTTTTATTCATATACATGACTCATAATTATATTAGTTAGACTAACAAATAAATTTTTATAATCATTTTGAAGTGAATGTCATGTTGATATTCACATTTAAGTCAATTAGATGAAGAAATAAACATTATTTTTTGCATTTAGTTTAAATGTTAAGTATTAGAAAAGAATTGATTATGACATATAAAGACAATCATCTATGTTTATCTGTCTGTTTAAGGTCAAATTGAAATGTCCTCTTGATAAATGATTATAGATTAGCAAAAAGCAATTAGTTCAACTATTAAGCATCATGTTTTCCAATTCTCATAGCATAAAATGTTACAAAGTCTAAGCTATTGGATAATTCATAACAACTATAATAAAGACTAAAAATGACAACAAAGTTCTTTCTTTCTTTTCCAGTACGATTTCTAACTTGACATGAAAGTGAACAACATTCTAATCTATATTTCTGTTCTACTAAAAATTTAATATCTATAATTGATGATCTGAAATAAGACAAACAAAAATTACTATTGTATATTTGAAAGAACTTCACATGTTTCATTATTCGTAATCGTTTTTCCGTTAAATAACTCGTCATTATCATTCAACTGTTTAATTCATTTTTTTTTCTTATAAAAGAAATCTATCTCGTATTAGTAATGACGAATGATTAGAGTTTACGACGTAGAAAAAGAAACTCCGATCAGTTTTATTGAATCGTATGTTGTTCAAGTCTTAATATAATAATTGTTGACATACAATAGATTTTTTCCGTCAAGAATATTCTTTTCTTTAGAATTGTATTGGAAATAAAAAAACTAACGGACACATTCTCGTTTTAAATAATTACGTAGTTTAATAAGAAGTTGAGTACAAAAACTTACTTATTTGAAAAAGCATAAATTACTGGATTACAAAACGAATTTGCATAACCTAAATACATTTATAACATATTTATCCAAGAAGAATAATGAAAACTTACCAATCCATGTAATATAACGTTCTACATAAGGATTAACACATTTATAATCACAATAAGCTAATCGAAGATACATGACAAAAAATGGTAACCAACAAACAACAAATACACCGACAACAATACCTTTAATAGAAAAACACAACTAAATATTTTAATATCATTCTTTTAATATGTTTCTTATTCATACCTAATGTTTTTATAGCTTTAAGATTTTTATTCCATTTAGCATTTTCAAATACAAATTTTTCATTACTATGTAAACGTTTAATTATATTTTCAAGTTTTTGTAATTCATGTGAATGTTTTCGTGCTGTTATAAATATTCGACCATAAAGGAAAAGTATAATTATAAGTGGAATATAAAATGATGTTAATGATGATATTATCGAATAAATACGATTCGGTCTCATACCACATTCAGTAGAATCTGATAAATGACCATTAGTTTTTGTTTGACTATAAACACCTAATAAAACAGGTCCATATGAAAGAAGAACACTGATCAACCAAATAGAACCGATTATAATAAATATCATTTGTTTAGTCATTTTTTGTTTATATTTAAGTGGATTTTCAATAGCAACATATCGATCAAAACTGACAGCAACTAAAATATACGATAAAGAAAATTATTTAAATTGAATATTTCCTATAAATTGAAAAGATAATTATATTGTAATTATTTTATATATATCACTTACCAAGATGTAAAATTGATGCTGTACAAAATGTTATATCATTTGCTACCCAAATATTACAAAAAACTCGTCCAAATATCCATTTTTGTTTTATTTCATATATAAATCCTGGTATCATAACTGTTGTTGTAACAAGTAAATCAGCAATAGCAAGTGACATAAGTATAAAATTCGTTGGATGACGAAGTCGTTGAACACGACATATGGCTGTAACAACAATGACATTTCCAATAATACTTAACAAGATAATGATTGAATAAGACTTAACAACAAGAAAGAAAAAGAAAAAGAAAAAAAAACCAATGTTAAATTTAAAGAAAAAAAAAATTTTTTTAAAAATATTATTTTCTTTACTTACTATTATTCCAACAATAAGTTCTCCAGTACGTGAATTATGTATATCAGTTTGAATTGTTTTTAATAAACTATCAGTAAGAAATATATTTTGTTCAGTTGTTAGATGATTACTATCAGTTGTTTGATTGGTATTCATTATCAACTGTCGGCAAATTTTTCACACTACAATATTTATTTATAGATCGATAGATATAATAAGAGAAAAATAAATAAATAGAAAAAAAATGATAGAAACAATGAATGACTCTGATAGATCTGGCTCATTTCTAATACCAACATCAGCTGAGAGACATGCAAACTTAGTCAACAAACAGATGTCTCATAAATCGAACACAACTGATATGGGTATATTAGTAAAAGAGATCGTTGAATAAAAGAAGAAACCAGAAAATTTCATTAAGAAAAAATTTTCTATATGGGCGTCACACACAGAGAACAACCAAGTACAGTGCTACGCACTAATTTCCATGTTATATCATGATATAAAGCAAAACATACCATGCAATTATCTATATTTGAATGAAGGTAGTCATCAAACATGTTTTTTTTTGAAATCTATGGTGATGATAAAAAAAAAACACTGAAATTATTAGTTTAATCTTTTTATATAATTTGATATTGAAGTTATTTTAAATTATTTGAATAGTTTTAACAATATTAAAGAAAAGATTATGATAGATTCTATCTATATCGATGGATGAAAAAGCGTATTGTACTTATTCTTTTGTTGTAATATGATACTTGATTGCCTTCAGACTCAAAAGACATATGATAGGAATCTGCTCGATTTCGAAAGAAAAACAAAATAAAAATATTTTCACATATTATCAGTTCAAGTATGAAACGTGTCTGTTAACATGATTGATCATTTGTTCTCAATTGAATCTAAAATGTATTCAGGAAAAGGCTTTTAGTTCGCATCCATTTGGAAAGAGATAGAGAAGACTTGTTGCTTCCTCTTCCTTCTCTTTTTCTTTTTTTTTCTGCATGAATCTTGACAAACTATTGATCATATTATCATACTACTATAGAGAGGAAGCAAGTCAGCAAATGAATCTTGTTATCGTTGAATATACAGGTTGATCTAAATCCAATGTCAACTAATGTAATCGATTGAAGTACCGGGATGATGCCGAGATTCAATTTCAGACATAATAGTAAAAAAAATTTAATATAGATTTTATCACGAAATAATCTACAATTGAAACTCATGCTCATATCCAGAAACATATACAATTAAATCACGACAACAAAAAAATTCTATTTTAAGTTTGTATCAATTTTTTAAACATCTGTGTATCTGTCTATCTGAGTATTAAACTTTATTCTATATGAATATATTTATAAAAGTTGAACAAGCTGTCATTCATGTGTTAAGTGTTCTCTTTATGGCACTTACCAGAACTACTTTATGAATTGTAAATGAGAAATAGTGTCGTGAGAAAAAAAAAACAACATATATTTAAATATGAAAATCTCAGTTGTTCACGGTAATAATAATAATAATGATATCACTCAATTGTATATTGTTTAAAAAATAATTTCTACGATAAATTAATCTAATTCAATTGTTTATATTGAATTGTTATTGACACGTTGTCTACTATATATCTATATATATAGTATAGTCTCTATTTTCGCTTGTTTGCCCTTGACAAGAAATGAAAGAGAAAGATCGAATAAGGAAATATTGTTATAAATGAAATAACGAGCATCTAAGTAAAAAAAAAAAACTAAGTTCAGAAGGAAATTAGCCATCAGAACGCAAACAGAAAAAAGAAAGAATGATAATCGACAGAGAGAAAGAACGAACAATAAAAAAGAAACTATTGAAAGTCGACCATTGTTAATTACAATATTTTCTACATATATTCAATTTCATGTGTACAACCTATACTATACACATATGTAACATTAATAATTACCTTGTTACTTTTGTGTTTATTTTTGGTTTGTTTTGTTATTGATACAATTAAATAGGAACTTGATAAATATCTAATGAATAGAAAAGATCATCGATCAAAAATAAAAATATTGTATTTGTTTATCAATAAAGCACGAAAAATAATGAACATAATTAGAATAATTAAATGACATGATCATGATTGGTATCTATCTAATTAAATAAATACGTATTCAAGTCTATTTTAGGGATAAATGTTACATTAGACAAATGAATACTATAGCTTGTAAAGATTATTTTGTTTTTCATCTGTGGATTGTTTTTTTTCGTAACATATATATTTATAGAAGAATATCTTGTGAGTCGTATGTCTATCAATATTAATTCTTATTCAATTCGGCTGCCTTTGATAAAAAAAAAAAACTTTGCTTCGTTTCATTTCTATTTTTATATATATTGTGTATTAATGTCTTTGTTAAAAGAAAGAAAAAAAGAAGGAACATCCTGGTCGTAGTCTTGCACATACAAAATTTTTTGTTTGCTTTTAAAATATTCATAATCATCATAGACTCGTTCTTACCCTATTATTGATATTATTAACGTTGATTTATTATTTCTTACTTTTCTTCTTTTTCTTTTGGTATACAATTTGTTTACATGTATTCAAGCGGAAAGGAAATGAGCAAGAGTTTTTCTTTCTTTTTTCCAACATTTTCTCAATATTTGACTTTTTCTTTTCTTTTCTTTTTTTTTTGTTTCAACAGCAAAAAAAATATTCAGGAAAATGCGTTAAGAAGACAGACAATGAGAAGAAAAACAAAAATCGGTACTAACTGACTTTTACTCATCACAATCATCTTTAAGAATGCCGATGGCCATAATAAACGGAAGATATTTTTATCTATTCTTTTCTTCATTCTTCTTTTTAACATACATTAGTAAACTGAATGAATGAGTAAACTAATCGATTAAATATTATCTTACCGATAAGAAATTTAATTTTAATATTTCAGTGAATTCGATATATACAATAGAATCTATTCAATCTATCTACTTACCTACTTCTATTTGTATTGTATACATTTATCTTCATCACACCAGGATATTGTCATCGTTAGCTTTAACAACAATATAAATAGAGTAAAAAACGCCTACTGTTATCAGTCTTCCAAACAGTTGTTTATATTCTCTTCGCCACCAACTAACCACGCTAAATCTTAACTTGTTTTGGTATATGCAATCCCTTACCAGATCATATGGCACCTGTACAAATATCAATGCTCGAAGGCAAAAAATACAAAAGAGAGAGAAACAAAGAAAAAAAAGAGAATGCAAGATATCTATAGTTGTGCTAAATTCCGAACGTTATATATACATGTTGACATATTGATGTCGATAGTCATCCAATGTTTGCTCGTTTGTCCTTCTTATTTTTCATCAAGAAAATCAATCAGATGTTATTATCCGCAGGAGTCGATCAAATCACAAAAGATAATGTTCGTATAAGTCATCAAAATGCTTTAAATATATGCAAAAAAAAAATGTTCGCCAGAAAGTCTTCTTACTCGATTTCTTGTAATAATTAAACAAATTTATATATATATATATATATATATAAGTTCGGAATAAAAATTACGAAATGATATTATAACTGTTTCAATTTATTATGTTTTAAAGAATTTATTAATCCAATCATATTTTACGAGCACAAATTCAAAAACTATGAATTTCCAAAAAATAGCATTTCAAACTAATATGAATAAATTTATTCTAATGTAGTAGAAACTTGAACAAATGAAGGTTTTAAAAAAGAAACAGCTCATTCTAGCAATTTGTTCTACAACATATTAATAAAAAAATCTTAAAGCATCTTTACATTTTATGTGTGTGAATTAATATTTTAAAGTTCGCTGAGCAATTTGAAAAGAATTAATCGACATCTTCTCTTCGGTGAATAATTTGAAATCTTTTGTACAATAATTATTCTAATATACCCATTACTACGTATTTAATTAGAAAAAAAAAAGTTTAATTTAGTTTTAGATGATAAGTTAATTAATACCTTATCATTCATAGATACATTAAAACAGGAAATTACTTGTCAAAATTAAGTGTTCTTGTAAGTAAGTTCTAGGTTAAAAACGGATTCAAAAGGACAACTTTACAAATGGACTCGGATAAATGAAAGAGAATCTTTGGTTTATATTAAATAATGGCCAGACTAAAACTCTCAGTCTCAATGAGATTGTTTTTTTCTAAAATGATTATCATTGTCTATTGAATCGTCAAGAACGGCATAGAGTTATTGAAAATGTTCTTTGTTTATGTGTGTGATGATTCAATAATTTTTTTTCGTCATTGGTTGTTATTAAATATTGATTTGGGTTAGCAGCATATTTATTCTGTCATGTGAGTCGAAATCGACTCCAATTACACTTAAAAATATTATCATAACTCAACAAAACTGAGATTTTCTAGCAAATCTTCTTACACACTTCATTATCCCATAAGGCATGCAAAGTGAAACAAAATGTTTCCTAGACTACTACTTCAACTTCTTTACAAGTATGTTCGTGTTCTTTTTTTTTCTTCATCATTTTCTTTTGTTAGGATTTACGTCATAATGATGTATATACGATTTCCATTTTTTATTATAATATCAGATCTACTTATTTTTCGTAAATAGACATAAGATCATAACAAACATGTTGTAAATTTCCATGTATTGTTTATTCATGTAAATGACTAAATTTACAATTTGTTACTTTCTCTTCATTTTAGTACTGTTGATTTTATATCTTGATCAAATGAGAACATTTGAAATCTCATCTTTGAATGCATCAGATATGAGGAGACAAAAAGTATTTTTTAAGGTTTTACTTTCTACAAGACAGATCAAGGAAGCAGAAAAATTCCATTAGATATTAATTTCCGAAAGATGTGGAACGATGTCTGAAGGCAGCCTTAGTTATTTTTTGTGTCGTGTCATCAGAAATTACAGTAACATCAAGTTAAAATGATGTTTTTTTCTTAAACTCTATTATAATGAAAAAAACAATATTTATTAGCGGATCATAATGATAGTATACTTCTTGTTAAATTTTGTGACAATAAACAATTTTCATTTGTTCACTAAATGAAGCAAGTCAAATAAATGACAAACAAGAAAAAATAATGTATGTCGATGATGTTCATGAAATTGAGATATATATTCATAAATTTTGCCATAATATCGGACCAAACTTCCTGGATATCTCCGGTTCATTATACTACATTTTACAGTAAATATTGAGATGGAAAAAATTCACTGTAGAATGAGAATTCGCTAGCATACTCATTTTCTATTGATTTAATTATCTTTAGTAGATAAAAACTAAGACGTGGAATCAAATTCACTGATATTCTCTCATCGACATTGATTGATTAATAAAAGAGATCATATTTCTAACTTATTTTTCTCTTAGGAAAAGAAAAAAAAAATAACAACTTTAAACTTAGAAGAAAAATACTCAATAATCAAAATTCCGTCTTGTTTTTTTTAATCAATCTAACGAAATAAAACATAATGCATTTTCATTCTTCATCTTTTGTAGGATAAACTATTTGAAAGAACACTAATCATATATTTAGTATTCCTTACATTGACATCATATTAATACAAATAATTAAATTAGAATAATGCTAGAATCAACATTTGCAAAAAATCAATAGATAAGTAAATTTCATAATGATATTTGCATGTGAATTTGAATTTACTCTTTGTAATTATATCAATTTCACTTTAATTGAATTGGATTCTCAAAATAGAGTTTTTTTTTTATTGTTGATGTCTTGCATATATTTTGCTCGAAGATGATAACAAACAGTCCGAGAATGATATCGTGTGAAACATGAAAGAAATTTTTTTTTGGAAAAGGTCATGACGTTTTTTTTTATTATTCATGTTCTTTTTCTAAAATGATTTTATTAATTATTTAATTTAGAAACATAAATTTCAAAGAGAATTGATCAATATTAGTTTTCTTTGCTCGAACGATTTTACACACAAGTCATGATGACTATTTTTGATTATTACACTATTGGTATAATATTTCAAATAATGTTCTCAACATAAGTTTTGAACTTGATAATTGAATATGAATAATATCGATTTAGAGATAATTATATTCACGATAATTCCTTGGTAGTATAGAACATGTTTTCCATTTCGAGGGTGTTTTCTTTGAACTGTGATTTATTTCTCGAAGCAACTTTTGATGTTTCTACATGATACACCCTTTCGCTTTCACTATATACTATATGTATGATTGAATTACGTGTGCAGCATGTAGGAAACGATGGAACATTTCTTTTTCTTTTACACTTGCAAGTTATAACAACATCATCTTTATTATCATACACTAATAGCCAATAAAGGCATATGCAAAAAGTTAAGTATTGCGGGGAGAAGGGAGAATCTTCTTTATGCCATTCCGCTAAAAAACAGCTGGAGATTTTTATTGCCAACTCACATTTTGAACTGTATAATAAAGCTGGTACAGTTCAGAAAAAAATCGCAACTTATCTCAAAAGACATGCATTTAAAAAAACACACAAACATTTGTTTTTTTATTTTATTTCGGCTCTAGAAAGAATACTTAGTTTTCAATCTGCTTTACTGAAAAACAAAACAAGGGTGGAGCAGCAGTGTTCACAAAAAAAGGAATTACATTGTGGATTTGCTCACTTTGTTGAAAACATTTCTGAGGCCTGTAAGCGTATGAAGGACTTTCTTCAGATGCTTCTTTCTGATTTCAATAATCTTTTGCCTATAGATACTACATAGTATTCTAATGAAAACCTTAAAATGATTTGGCTTCCTCTTGAGATTTGACTAAGATATTGAATTTTTAATATGTCTATTTTCTAGAAGACCTCAGATTTTCGGTAAACTCGTATTTTTCATTTTTCATCGAAAACTTTGTGCATATAGAGAATTCAACTAAATTAACTTTCATAATAAATTCCAGAAGTTAGTCTAGTTCAATTCTCTATATGCACAAAGGTTTCGATGAAAAATCAAAACTACGAGTTTTCAGAAAATTTAGGATGTCTAAAAAAATTTTCGATAGCTTAGTTAAATCTCAATAGGAACCTAAATCTTTTTAGGGTTTTTATTAGAACACTATGTAGCATCTATAGACATAAAATCGTTAAAATCGGAAGTGGACATTTGATGAGGTTTCCTCGTTAGCGGCTGAAGGCAAAGAAAGCCGCCGGCACAGTTCTTCTTCACTCGTTACAAAGGCGTACTGCTTCAAGTCATTTGCAGCGTAGAGCTCAAGATTTAGTCATACAAAAATAATAACCACGATAAAATTCATCAAAATCACACACATTCGAGTATCCTTATAATCATGACATTGGCGAAAAGTTGCACCATATTGTATTCTACCAAATGTTCCATAACTCGTACTTCGACTATTGCTAAAATCATTTTCAATTACACAAAATCCTCTACCAGAATTACTTTATGTAGATGGTAGTTCCCGTGTTGATGGTAGATGAGTACGAGTTTATTAGACATATCTACGTAATTGTTCGATTTCATGTAATATAATGCAACTTTAGACAATAATTCATTATGATATTCTCATCGTTTAATAGGATCACCTGATGTATCAGATTGTGCTAAATTTAGTGGTCTCATTAACATCATCTGGATTTGCATCCGGATGATTGTTTTTTTTTGATAATCTATAAAAAGCTGTTTTGATTTCTTTAGCTAAAGCATTTGAATGAACATCAAGCCCATTAGCATGATTTAGTGATGATTTCTTTATCAGCATGAAATTAACGATATAAATAAACAATAACAAGAAAATGATGTATCAGTATGCAAAGTCGAACTTGGATACTAAAGATCGTCGGGTTCAAAATTTTGGATCCGGATCCAGTTAACAGAAAGTTTTCAGGCTCCTACCAGATCCAGGACCAATCCGACGGGCTCTACCGGATACATATTGAGTGAAATGATTTGAATAGATAAGCATATGATAGTGCAAGTGAGCAGAGAAAAATGCATACTCACATCCAAAAAACAACATATTGATGGACAACATTTTTCTACTAACCATTTAGTTTAAAATGAAGTTCTTTTTGTAGCAGAATTTCGTATATTATCTTCTATCTTATCAATTCAAAAAGAAGAAAAAGGAAAACAAAAAAAAAATCACATTAGTATGAGAAAGAACAAAAGACAGACATAGTCAAATTCAAGCCTAGAACAAAAAACGACAAATGCAATTATTTACATAGTAGTGCAACGTAAATATACAAAAGACAACAAACATCAAACAAATAAGATCTTTTGTATACAAATGAACATGTATAAGACTGTTCAAATTTTGAATTTTTCATATCAATAAAATAGTTGAGTCATGATATTAATATTTCGTTGAATAGAAATAATAAACGGAGAAAAAAAAAACATGAATCTATTTTAACATTGAGCATATAGCAATACACATAATATATAGGAACAAATATCTGACAAGAAAAAAAAAAAGAAATCAGGAAACAGAAACAAAATTGATTATCAATTAATTTCTGATCACTTGTACTAATCCATGATCATAGGCATATAGTACGGCTCCACATGCAAATTGATATTGACTCTAAAAAAAATAAAAATAAAAATAAAAGAAAAAAACTCAATTAATTCATTATTATACATACAGCAGTTTGAATCATTCCTAAACGTTGTTCACGCATTTGTTGAACAATATCAAGTGGAAATACAGGTTGATTCGTTTCAATAAGACATAGAGCAGTTTCCATTAATATAATAACACCTGTTCGACCAATACCAGCACTAAAAAAAATATCAAATATAAATATTATTTCAAAATGTTTTACAAACAAAAATTATTCAATTCTTGGTAAAAATATATGTCAGTGTTCAAACTAAGATTACGTCTAATCTCGGATTGGAGAAGAAGTTTTCCCTAAAACCTCCATTAGTCTCTATATAGATGTTCAATTCGAATTCTTGTTGGCGACCTGTGTTGAAACAATGGCATTTCAGGTGTTACAATCATCGATGAAGAAACTAATGAGGGAACGCTCTTAAGTATCCGATCGTTTTTTGATCAAGACTATATTCAGATGAGAGGTTATAGTTCGTAGTGTAAAAGCTTAAGAGAGTTCGGTTGTCTGAGCCTCTGTTCTTGAGATATCGAATATTTACAGAATTTTTTAACAAAAAACTGTGGTCCTTTTCAGGTCACTATGAAAATCAAGTTCCGACTTAAAATTTTGCGTAAATGAAGCTCTTGATGGCACTGGTTCGTCGTGAAAATTTCACTGATTTAACTATTTGATATCCTGAGATGTCAGTATACAAAGCAAGAGTGCCTTTTTATATCCGAAAGTGTTTCAGTATCAATCTCAGAGTAAGAAATCCTAAAATCAGTGAAACTTGCACAATCAGCTAGCGTCATTGAGAGCTTCATTTATGCAAAGTTTCAAATAGAAATTCGATTTTTCATGGTGACCTGAGAAAGATCACAGCTTTCTGTCAAAAACAAACGCAGTTAATATTCGACATTTAAAGAACAAAAGCTCAGACAACCGGACCTTCTTAAACTTTTACACTACTCACCATGACTTCTCATCTGAATATAGTCTCGATCAAACAGTGATCAGACAATTAAGAATGTTTTCTCGTTATATCTATGATTGTAATGTCTGAAATATCATTGCTTCAAAACAATTCATCTCAAAGATTTCAAATCGAACATGTATCTAGAGACTATTGAAGATTTTAGCAAAAATTTCTTCCCCAATCCGATCTTGAATATGTCTACACCTGGATCCAAGATTGGACACTGACATATAACATCAACAATTTACAACTAAGTACTCTCGCTAATAGAACTATCTATCTACAAAGAAAAAAAAAGTTCATCTGATATTCTCTCTAAGTATTCTTCTCTATAGCAAAAGAGAATATTTCCCGAAATTTTTTTATGTAATCATTTTCGAATGGGGTTCTTTTTTTGTAAAACAAAATAATGTAGCATAGAATTAGTGAAAATGAATTGATTTTCATTTCTATTCGGCACTACTGATCTTTCAAGACTGGTACAACGCATATTTATGTCGTTCGTACCAAAGACAGAATTGATTCCATTTCTGACTCGTGTCAAATCATAGAGCAAGGCCAATTAGATCAATGATAACTAGTACGTATCAATAGATCTGAACTGTTTCGGAACAAGAAACATCTATATGCGTCTTCCGTCCCGAAAGGGTTAAAATATACATATATATATATTCAATGATGTAAAGAAGTAATGATTTCGGTAAAACAACTGATAAATACATTCTTTCTGTAAATCAACAAAAATTTACTGATAGTATAATTAATCTTTGTTTTAGATACCTGCAATGAACAAGAATAGGTAAATGTTTTTTTGATTTTCTTAATTCTCGAATTTCTAAAACAAATTCAACAAAAGATGCAAAATCATTTGGTACACCATGATCAGGCCATGTTTCAGTTTGTATTTGATAAATAATTCTTTCTTCATTAGTTTCTTTATGTGTAAAGAAAAATTCTCGATATATAAGTTGATTTTCTTTTCGTTCACGTCGACATCGTACAGTAAATAAACCATAATCATTTGTTTCTAATACATTTGGCCAATATTGATGACATTTTATTCGGCCACTAAAAAAAAGTAAACATTATTAAATTAAACAAAAAGAAAACTCTAAATATCTTTTTCTTACTTTTCAAATAAAGTCGTAAGCATAATTAATAATGTACATTGTTGTTCCCAGATCATTGTCCAAAAAGCTTCACACGTTGTTGGCAATGGTCCTTGTGTAGCTATATAACGATTAACCATATCCGTTGATGTAATAGGCATCTAAGAAAATAATAAATTTTGTTATATAATTTAAGAAAAATTTGTTCTTTTTTTCTGTTTTTACATTAATAAAATTAGCATTAATATAATCACTATCTGAACTAAATTTAAGTATAACACGTGTTTGATCATAAGGTAAAACATCTTTATAACGATTACAATAATAATTATTTTGACTAGTACCAATTTCAAATGTAAAACCTTCTTTACGTCGTGGAAGTGTCTAAATAGAAAAAAAAAGAAAAGATTTTAAATTTTTTCATGGAAAATATTTAACTTACTTCATACTGTTCAATAAGATGACCAGTTGTAATATCATCACGTAATATTTCTAATGATTGTTCTAATGGATCTTTTTGATTTAAATTTAAAAAATCATTATCATACGTATGTTCGAAATCGGTATCATTATTTGTTGATAAATGACATTTATTTAAAGGTCGTATTAAAAGTTCTAATTCACCAGATGGTCTTTCACGTGATTGTCGAATCATATTAACAACCTAAATACATTAATAAAATGCTTTCTTTTTTTAACTTTTCGTATTATTATAATGTTACTTCTTCATGTGAATGACTTTGTATATTAATATTATTAATTGATAATATTTGATCACCTTCATGAAGTGATGCTCGATTAGCTGGTGTATTTAAAGCTATTCTTGAGATAACAATTGGTGAATGTTCATCACCACCACCCTAAATACAAAAAAATAATACTCTGTATTTCTTATATTTAAATCATTTAGTAAATTACTTTAACATTAAAACCATATCGACCATCAGTATCTGGTTGGAGTTTAATAGTAATTGTATCAGAATTTTCTTTTGTTGGAATATCATCAATATATGATGTTCCGTTAGACATTTCAAGACTAAAAGAAAAAAATAACGACAAATAACTTAATTGGATTATAGGTAAGAAAAAAGGATTGTAAAGAGGGTCACCTGTAAAATTTTATACGACTATTAAGAATCAAATGGAAGAAAAAAAAACTAATTGTTTTCATTGCCCCAAGGAGAAATCAAACTTATGAAATCTTTTACCTATTTTGGTAATTATTTTTTCTTGGTAAAGTAGCATTTTTTGGCTTATATTCATTAGCTTCGATCAATGCACTGTTATTTATAGAAGAATTTTTCGATGTATTAAGTGGTTGTCGAGGAGGTTTTGGTGGTGGTGGTGAACGTGTATTTAATATTTTATCAGATTTTGATATTGATACTGACGATGATGAAAGAAATAAGACTGTCTTTAAATTTGAATTTCTTGTTAATGATAAACTATTATTTGTTGTTGATGCTGGTAATGTTGATGAACCATTTATTGAACGAAAACTTCTACGACTTGAAGCTCTAAAAACAAAAGAAAAAAAAAATAATAAAAGAATATTTTAAATTTATAAAACAAAATATTTACCTTTCAAATGTCTTTGGTTTTTTACCATTTGCTTCAATTAACAAACCATTTTGCACAACGTCATTACTAAAACAACAACAAAAAACTATTTTACTATAAAAATAATCAATATTTACCTATGTCGAAATTTATTAGTAAATTGAAAAAATTTTCTCGGTGATGGTGGTATTGATGTTAAACGAAAAAATGTATGATGATCAACACATGATTTCCATAAATATTTACAACAACGATAACTACGTAGGGTAAATACAATTGAATTATCATCTGGTGAATTCTAAATTTAATTAAAAAAAAA